CAAGAGTTTATCTAATTCTGGAATATGCACCACTTGGGACAGTCTATAGAGAGCTTCAGAAACTTTCCAAGTTTGATGAGCAGAGAACTGCTACTGTAAGTTTTCATTTATTGTCCAGGCTAATTCTGTTTCCTGTATGTGCTTTTCATTACAGTAGAGCAGATTCTGACTTAATGGAAAGATGGATAAACAGGGTCAGATATTTGAAATGGAAAAATCAGACTAGCTCAATGTTCCACATACACAGATTATATCAGGTATCAGGTAGAATGTTTTGGTTGGTTTGTTTTCAGTCATTTTTCTGTGGAAATGTATATAGTGGCCCTCTTTATTTTTTAATACTCATTTATTAATACTCACTTATTTTTATACTCATTTATAGAAATTATTAAGATAACGCAGAGAGTTTCCCATACCTAATTTCTCCTATTTTGTGTGTGTGTGGTACTGGGAATTGAATTCACGGCCTTCACACTGAGCCACATCCCCTGCTGTTTGTTTTTGTTCTTGTTTTTAAATTTTATTAGTACATGGTTGTAGTACATGTTATTTTGGCATAATCATTTGATTCTAGGGACTAATTTCTTGTTTGATTTCTTTTATGATCCACTGATTATCCAAAAATATATTGTTTAGTTTCCATGTGTTTGCATAATTTCTGGGTTTCTTTTGCCATTGACTTCTAGTTTCTTTGCACTATGATCTGGCAATATGTATGGGATAATTTTGATTCTTTTGCATGTACTTAAGTATGCTTTATGTACTATTTTTTTTGTTGTTGTTCTGGGGATTGAACTCGGGACCTTGCGCTTGCGAGGCGGGCATGGAACCACTGAGCTAAATCCCTGGCCCTAAGCATGTTTTATGGGCTTGTATGTGGCATTAATTTGGAGAAAGTTACATGCGCTGCTGAGAAGAATGTATAATTCTCTTGCTAGGTGGAACACTCTGTAGATGCCTATTAAGTCCATTTGTTCAAAACTGTGGTTCCTTTCTGATATTTCTTTGTTGATTTTTGTGTCTCATCAATCTATTTGTGATTGTGAAGTTTCTCACTATAATTTTGTTGATGTTTGTCTGATCTTTTATGTCCAGTAGCGCTTGTTTTATAAAGTTGGATGTGCCAGTATTTGATGCATATATGTTTACAATTGTTATCTTTTCCTGTTGAATTCTTCCCTTAACCTTCTTTGCCTCTTCTGATTAGTTTTGGCTTGAAATCCACTTTGTCTGAAAATAGGATAGCTGCTCCTGCTTGCTTTCAGGTTTCCATCGCATGGAATATTGTTTTCCATCTTTCAGTTTTTAGTCTGTGTTTCTTTTTTGATTAAATGTGTTTCTTGTATGTAGCATACTGTTGTATTTTGTGTTTTGAGCCAGTCTGCCAATCTGTCTTTTGACTGGGGAGTTGAGATCATTCACATTGAGATTTATTGCTGAAAGGTATTATGTATTCCTGTCATTGCATTATTGTCCTGTTGCGGATTCCTTTTTTTTTTTTAATTCCCTTCTGCGCTGGTGTATTCATTCCATTAGATTTTTGACATTGTGAGCTTAATTGTCTCTTTCTACCATATCTTAGAGAAGTTTTTTGGAGTGTTGGTTTGGTGGTCATAAATTTAAGGTGCTCCTTGTCATGAAAAGACCTTATTTGTCCATCAAGTTTGAGAGATACTTTTGCAGGATATATTAGTCTGGGTTGGAAGTTGTTTTCTTTTAGGGCTTGAACCACTTCATTCCAAACTCACGGCTTTTAGAGTTTGTGTTGAGAAGTCTGCTATAATTTTAATGCATTACCTGCATAAGTGATTTGTTGCTTTTCTCTAACAGCTTTAAAATTCTGTCCTTGTGTTGAACTTCTGGGATTTTCACTATGATGTGTCGTGGAGAAGTTCTTTTGATTGTTGCTATTTGGGGTTCTTTATGCCTCAATTGTCTGTGTTAAATTCAACATACTTGGAAAGTCTCTGCTATTTTTGTAAAGTTTTTTTTAATGCCATTTGTGCTGTCTTCAGATTTTTCACAGATTCTAATTCATCTTGTATAGTATTGGTGTTCTTTGCATTCTCTACTAATGTATCTAAGTGTATGGTTTCTAACATCAGTCCTATCTTCTAGTTCTGACATTCTCCTCACATTGGTCACTTCTGTTGCCCATACTGTCAGTGGAATTTTTAATCTCCTGGGTTTCTGTTTGGTACCTTTTCATGGACTCTAATTCTCTGCTAAACTGGTCATTCATCTTTTGTATTGTTTTGTTTAGCTCAACTAGTTGTGTGTATTATCTGTGTAGTTATATCTTCTTTGAGCTTGCTGAGCACCTTATTGATCTGTTTATGTTTATCTTTTTTATATTTCAGTTGTTTGGATATTGATTTCTGCTCCAGCAAAGCCCTATGGATCTACTTTGGGGGGAGTTGGGAGTTTTTGGAGGTGTCATATTGCCTTGTCTTCTCGTGTTGTGTGTGTGTGTGCATGTGCCACCTGTGAGCACTGACATTTAAGGATTGATTACAGTGGAAAGGCTTTCATGATGTTGTGGAGACCTTTTCAGTGATGCACTCTGGGCATGGCTAACTATAGGCCTTTGCCTCTGATCTCAAGATACAGCCACCTCCATTAATTTGGTGGGGAGGGTATAGTCTAATTGGCCTAACACCCTATTCTCCAGAAATGGACTGCAGTATTCTTTTTTTGTTTTCTGTTACCAGGGATCGAACTCGGGACCTTGTGCTTGTGAGGCAGGTGGACTGCAATATTGTTGATGACACAAAGACAAACCAGATAGATACTAGCATACAGAAAGAAAAAAACAATTAATAGCAACATCTATGCCACCCTGGCAATAGCAACAAAATCAACAATAATAGAGTGAAAGACAAAGTTGATATTGACATACCATAAGAAGCAACAAAAGCTACCAGTATACCACTCTTATCCAAAGAAAAGAAACTTATAGTTTACCGTATATACACAAAGAGAAATCAAATATTGACATATAGTGAAAACCTACTACGTGCAACAACTATATCGCCATTAACAGTAGAAAAGAATGCAACATTAATAGAATTGAGTTAACTAAACATCTAAAGGTTAATAAAGCTTAATGATTATACTAGTAAAGATATACAAGGTGGGGAATGGGAAAATGAAGGAAGTAAAATTTGAAAAAGGATGAGAAGGAGGCAAGAAAAATGAGAAAGGATCCAATTAAGGAGTAAAATAAAATTAATAGAATTAGATAAAATACCAGAAAAGAACGAACAAGAAAAAGAAAAAAGAGCAAAAGGAAAAAAAAAATTGAAAGAAAAAAACCCCCAACCTCCCAAAAAAACCAATGAAGGAAAACACAGTCCAGAAGAAACTATTCCTCTGTGTTTTGAGTGAGTGCTTTCTCTGGAGGGCCGCCATGTTGAAATCCACCACATACGGGGAGGATAGTGAGTCACTGCTAAGACTAGTTTGTTTCCACACTCAGAGTGTGAATGTAAACCCTGACTCCTCCCCCAGGTGTGGCGGGTGCCTGGTGTCTGCCCCGTGGCTGTAGTTATTCACAGCTCTGCCTTTGCATGTCCCCCTGTGCACCACTGTCACATCTTTCTCCACCCAGCTTTCTGGCCTGTGGTTCTGTGAGGTGCCCCCCATGCTGCTCAAGGCTCCTGTGTCCATACACACCAGGCTGTGACTGCCGCCTAGCTGAGGTGTGTCCTGTCTCATGTTGGTAGCTGGAGAAAGCAGAGACCATCAAGTTTTGTGCTGGAGGTAGGCAGTGGAGTTGGGGCTCAAGCACACCTCTGGATGTAATCCCAGCACTTGGACCCAGCTGCCTCTGAAAGCCATACAAGACCAGCCTGACTTCTCACCACAGAGACGGGGCTCCTGTGGCCTTCCTGGCCTAAGCTTAAACTTCTGTGGGGGCTGATGTCTAGCCTGTGCCCTCTCTGTGACTGTCTCTTGTGGCTGTCTCTTGCCCAGTCACTGTGGTCTGCGACCCTGGAAACCCTGAAGTATAGTTGTCTTGAAGTTGTTTTGTGGCTCAGTTGTAACCCTTTCCCAAAATGTCTCCTAATGAACCCCTCTCAGTTATGGCGGGCACTGTATTGGATTTCTTCTCCATCTTTAGCCTGCCTTGTAGAAGGAGTCAGTTTCAGAGTAGAACTCCACATAGCTTTTGCTGTTTGCAGTAACCATGGGCTCTTCGTGGGGCTCGCGCTGCTGGTCCGGTCCATTATTGGAATTGCCAAGGCTCTTGGGGCTTACCTAGTGTCAGAGAGCAAGTCGTCCTCACCTTCTGGGGTGGGCCTTCTGGACTGCTTTGTCCTTTTTCTCTGCATTGTGCTCTTTCTCCAGCTTCTTTGTAGTTTCTGAAGCATTTGTGAACCGAGGTAATACTATATTAGCAAAGAGATAACTAAGGTACGAATAACTTGATGGTAACCACTATAAATTGGTTACATTGATTTTTGTAGACTTACTCATCCTGTCTACAGTGTTTGCTTTAAAACTTGCAAAACATGTTAACATCTGTGTTGGATTTTCAGAAGAGATGTCTAATATTGTGTTATATAAATTCTAAAACATGGGCTTTCATTGTTTTTTCAACAGTATATCACAGAATTGGCAAATGCCCTGTCTTACTGTCATTCCAAGAGAGTTATTCATAGAGACATTAAACCAGAGAACTTGCTGCTGGGATCGGCTGGAGAGCTGAAGATTGCAGATTTTGGGTGGTCAGTACATGCTCCGTCCTCCAGGTATGTAACTTTAGAGGTGGAAGTTGTACAGTCCAGCAGAAGCCCTGAGGGCTAATCGTGAAGTAAATATAAAAATTCAAGAGTAGATTTTATACTGAATTGAGGCAGGTGACTCACCTGGAAATACTTTGGAATATTTTAGGCCTGATAATAAATTAATATCAAAATTTTATTTTGTGAGTACTTTGGGCCATTTATGGTATTCTAGGTGTGGGGTTAAAGATGCTTACTATTGTTAGAGGTTAATGAAGTGGATGCAGAGTCAACAGATGGGCCAAGTACATGACAGTTACAATACAGATTGCAGGGGAAGAACTCCTCCTTTGGTGGTGGGTTGGAGACTGGGTAAGAAGAGAAAAGCAGTACAAAGGTCCACAGCCAAGAGTGTGGTTCTTTGGGGAACTTTGAAAACCAAATTGGTTTGGATGGAGCTTGGAGAGAGGTGATTAGAGAATCTGGTCTGCTTTTGTCGAGAGTAGGAACAGTTCTTGTTTTGTTGTCACCGCCCCACGACCCTCCCTCACGGCCCTGGCAGAGGCATCAACATAATGAAATTTAAATCAATGGTGAACTTTCCAAACAAGAGCTAAGAGATTCTATACAATTTAAAATTTAATTTGGGTTTGAATAAGCTTTAACACTTCATGTGAGTGGGGCATTTTAAAGCATATAGCTGATTAGGGCTTGTCAACTTTGAAGGACTTAAAAAATTATCACCAGAGGAGGTTTTTAAAAAATAAAGCCAGCTAGAGAAAATAATACAGCCTAAAGTAGATGATGGGGCGGTGGGGGGGCTTTACTCTTTGTTGCAGGCCATTTCCATTTGTTCCTAGCAAAGCAGTCTGTATTTCACTGATTGTCCTCAGTGGGAGCTGTTGAGATTGAGTGAGACAAACAACAAAAAACTGTGGGCTTCACGGGGCTACAAGGTTAAACTAAAGCAGAACTTAAAAGAAAATCAGTTCTCCTAGCTGAAAGAAGGCTTAGCAGCTCCCCACTCAGGTTCTGCCCCCCAACTACTGACCCCCTGGTACTGATAAGGTAGGCGGTCATATTAAATTTTGTAGCCCTGGAGGGTCAGCTGGCTGGATGTGCGCCACCCCCAGCGTATGCCCAACCTTTGTGGGTGGAATGCTGAGTTGACAGCTGCTGGGAGCACATCAGTCTTCCCAGCGATCCCATTCAACAATTCTTAACACTTGGCTGCATTGCCTGCATCTTCTTTTTCGCAAACATTTGAAAATAAGCTGATTTTCATGATGCTGTAACCAGCTCCCTCCTGGGCCGGGGATTTAGCTCAGTGGTTCCGCCGCCTGCCTCGCAAGCGCAAGGTCCCAAGTTCGATCCCCGGTACCAAAACAAACAAATAAAAAAAACATGATAAGCTCCTTAACCAGGTCCCTCCTGTGCTGAGATCTGGTCCTTGTTTTGGGGCAATGAAATTTAAAGCCAACAAAACAGCACGCAGCGAACAGTGGGGAATGACCATGTGTTTTTAGTAGAATAAGGAAAAACTCCCGCTCATTGGACACTGTGAATGTTTTAAGTCCAGTGGCCTCTTACACAGCTTTTCACGTAGGTGAACATGACAGAACGCAGGGATGCTCCTGGTGGAGCGAGGTCTTTGATGTCTGGAAAGTGAGCTGCTTGTTCTCCAAGGTCTCCCATTTCTTTGGGGACCTGTTCTGTGTCCCTTGCATTCCTTTAGGCCCTGATGGTCAGTTTGCCTTAGTTAATTATTTGTGCCCTCTGTTATGTTAACTCACATAAGCCCCAACCTTTAGTTTTATTATCATGATGCTTTTGTTGTCATGATGCTTTTGTTGTCATGATGCTTTATCCTTAAGCATTACAATATGCATATCCTAAAAACAAGGATATTTTACCTTCCTTTGAAAGCTAAGAGCTTTCTTAATATTTACTGTTTAGTCCGTGTTCAAATTTCCCCTGCTGTCCATGAAATTTCACAGCTCTTTTTTCAATCCCAAGCAAGGTCTGTGGATTGGAGTTGTATTTCTCTCTCTTTGGTCTTAATCTAGACCAGCCTCTACATTTTTAAATGTGTTTTTCCGACAGTGGTGTCACTTAACTCGGTGTTAACATAGAACTTCAAATTGTATTTATAGAGAGCTCTGCATGGCAGCTTTTATATCAAGATGATTTGAATTTCTTCTAGAGTATTCAAGGAGGTTCTGGAGTTGGACAGACTTGGGGTGAGGCCTGGTTGCTAGCTCTGTGATCTTACACATTTTCTTTAGTCTGCTTCCTGTCTAAACGTGGGGGTTTATGATGTACCTACGTCACAGCACAGGATCTGGCTGGGGGACACTCAGCCCTTAGCATAGCTGATGATTTGGCCACTGTCGTGATGAAAGCAGAACACATCACCCGAGCCTCCCTTTATAGGAGAACCACTCTGTGTGGTACCCTGGACTACCTGCCCCCCGAGATGATTGAAGGCCGGATGCACGATGAGAAGGTGGATCTCTGGAGCCTCGGAGTCCTCTGCTATGAGTTTCTAGTCGGGAAGCCTCCTTTTGAGGCACACACTCACCAGGAGACCTACAAGAGGATATCGAGGGTAAGATGTAACTGGAAAGGACCCAGCAGTGCTCGTAGAACTCTTCCCTTATCAGCAGAGGTGTGAATATTTATGCGATTTGGTCTCTCTTACTTGTGTTTTGTGCCCTTTGTCATTTGTACTCCAGGTTGAATTCACATTCCCTGACTTTGTGACAGAGGGAGCCCGGGACTTTATCTCAAGGCTGCTAAAGCATAATCCAGGCCAGAGGCCGACTCTTAGTGAAGTACTGGAACACCCCTGGATTACAGCAAATTCGACCA